GCAGAGCATCAAGCAGAAGGTCCCAGGTCCAATCTCCAACAGCATCTGTAGGTAGACCTGAGACTGCCTCCTGCCTAAAACCCCCGAGAGCCACTCTTAGTCAGTGCAGACAATTCTGAGCTAGACTGACTCAACACGTTCCTACATCAGATTTTGATTTGGTATTTTGTGGGGGAAGGGCCCTCCTGACCTAGAGCACATGGAAATGCTAAAGGGCCTCTCCATGTAGGTCTGAGACTGTCCCCATCATGAAACTCTTGACACCAGTCAGTACTGAGCTAGATGGACCAAATAAGGTATCTTTCCGTGTCCCAGTGACTTTCTCTTCCCACCTGTACCACCTCCATCATTCTTTCATTGTCTTCCACCCACTTGCCAGCTTCCTCCAACCCTCCCCATGTGTTTCTCTTCTCCTTACCTATTAATTCCCCCTTGAGGCCGACAGTTATCCTTCATCCCATTCACGTCCAATCAATACCTTCCCTCTTAGCACTTGGCATTCCTTTCCTGCTGCCCATCAACATCCCAAGGTCGAACCAGCCCTCTTTTGTCTCCATTCTTTCATGCTGCTGCAATTCAACTCAAAGAGCAGGTGAGGATGTGTCATTCTTTATGGAGAACCTCTCTCTCTGCCTACACACTCGCTTCACATCAGTTAGATTTACCACTGAGCCTCTCTGCTCCCACAGCACAATGGGGCTTTGGAGAAGCAGCTGGCTTCCTGTCATTGGCTAGAACCTCATCCAAGACCCAAATGGGTGCCTTGGCCAATCACAAAGTTTTTTTAAATTTGTGAAAACTCAGATGTAGATACGACAAGCTCCAATACCTTCTGTATAATTAACATTTTTTCAATTGGTTGTGCTCTTGCAACTCTGCAGGGTCAGTGTTACTACTCATTTGCATATTTAATTTATATCCATGCTTCCTCCCAAATGAACCCAGGATTGCAAACACATCCATAATAAAAGAATTCATTTTAAAAACAACAAAACAAAACAAAACCGTTCCATAAACAGTCAAGACATTCTAAAACCAGTTACGGTTAAGAATATTCTATTTTTAAAATCTCAAACAGTGATCTCAGGGTTGCTAGGAACAGTATATTTCTGTCGTCAGATGCCTGGGTAAACAGCAATGTTTTCAAAAATCATCAACATCATCATTACAGTGGTACCTTGGTTCTCAAACTTAATCTGTTCCAGAAGTCCGTTCCAAAACCAAAACCAAGGCACACTTTCCCACAAAAAGTAATGCAAAATGGATTAATCCATTCCAGATTTTTAAAAACAACCCCTAAAACAGCAATTTACCATGAATTTTACTATCTAACAAGACCACTGATCCATAAAAAGAAAGCAATAAACAATGAACTACAGTCACACAATCAATCAATCAATCAATCAGTCAGTAGCTGAACTGGGCTCCACACAGTCACACATACACACAAAAAGAGCCGCAGAAACAAAAACACAAAATAAATAGCAAAAAAAAGACAGATCTCAGCGTAACACTCAAAACGGAAGTGTGGCACTCAAAACAGAGCATGTTCGGCTTCCAAAAAAAGTTCGTAAACCGGAACACTTACTTCCGGGTTTGCAGTGTTTGGGTTCTAAGTTGTTTGAGTACTAAGGCATTTGAGAACCAAGGTACCACTGTATATATTTATTCATGTCCCACTTTTTTCTGACAGGGACTCAAGGTGGATTACAGTTAAAATAAGAACAGCTAAAAATATAGGGGGGGGACAATAATTAAAAGCATATATATATATCATACAGATAGACAATCACAACCAAAACAGAACAGCATTAAAAGACATTTCCCCAAATCCTGATAGAACAAGGTGTTCACCTGCCAGCAGAAACACCAGTGGTAAGGCATGGGAGGTACCAGAGAACACCCTCTGTACCTGTCTGACATGCGAGCACCCACCTGGTGGTGGCGAGGGCCAGGTGGCCGCGCTATGCCCCTGCCTGGTGTGTGTCTTCACACACTCCCCCGGTCACCGGTGAATGGCACCATGCCCCTGGGAAGGACGACAAAGAGGGAGCCTTCATGGGGCCGTGCTTGGCCTCATGTTGTTTCCGGCGGCTGCTACGCCTTGCATGGCATTCCCAGGGCCACTCAGCCTCCCATCACCTGGAGATGCAGCGTCTCGTGAGCAGGAGGCCAAATACAGTAAAGATAAGAGAGGGGAGGGAGGGAAGCGGAGAGCAGGCGGGCGAGGAAGGCATCAGTGAGGGGGCAAGCGACAGAGATGTGGGATGGTTGAGTGTGTCCCCAAAATGTGTCTGGGTTTTTGCTCTTCAGAATATGGCCAACCTAGCTATCTCCCCCATTCCTCTCCCCACCCCCACATCCTTGGACCATGTTCTGTTTTATGACTCCGCCTTGGCCTAGTTCTGTTGACTTCCCTTGTGAACAGGCCCTGAAAGATTCACGGATTTGGCTCTTTGCTGTGAGATGTTATTGACTCAGCCCCAGCCTTCGCTCCCAGTCTGCTCACCCAGAGGGTTTTTGACTTTCTTTTCTCTAATACTGCCACAGAGCATTGATCTCTGAAGGTGCTACCTACCATTGTGTGGGCAGTGGGGAGCGATTAGACCTCAGCCCCATGGAAGCCCAGGGACGAGGGCTTCTGATCTTAATTCCTCATTTTTTGCTTATTACACTTTTCTTCCTCTGATCCCCCCACAACCCTCCCTGGTCAACAATTTCACTCACTGTACTTTGGGGGAGCTCAAAATAGCTTGCCAGATTGAGGCAGCTCTTGAGAAGTTTAATTTTCCTAATGCTTGTCGGAAAATCCCCTTTTCTGAATTTTCAGGAATGCTCTGCTAAGGTTCTTAGCGTGATCGCTTCAGAGGGGAAATTGGGGGGGGTGTGAGCTGACAGCAAAGTGGAACAGGGTTAGGCTAAAGAAAACTCAGCCAAGGATGGAACATGTTTTTCTCTCTTTTTTAGGGGAGGAGAACCTCTTCTGGCTAGTTCAGGAATCAACATTCCCTGAAATAAAACAATCTGGCCCAAATTACTGCCCTCCAACTTTGCCCTACAGCAACATCTTGGTCAGTCCCTGGACTGGGATAGCTTTGCCAAAGTCTGGGTTACTGTGATGCATTCTACGTGGGGAACTTGTTAGCATTTGGTCTGGAAACTGCAGTTAATGCAGAATGCTGCAGTACAATTGCTGACAGGGGCAAGATCACACCCCTGCTCAAATATCTGTTACTGGACCAAATTCAGTAGAAGAGGAGGAGGGAAAGGAGCCAGCGGTCACCGCCACAATACAAATATGTGACGACACACACACCTGAGGGCAAGATGGCACCCCTGCGCTGTGACCTCCAGCAGATTGACTTCATCCCCATAGGCACAGTCCCGCATTGTCTCCTGAGACAGACAGGTGCCAACTGGTCAACAGGCAGAATGAAAGCAAGGGCACGGAATGCTTTTTCAGCCCACGGGCCACATTTGCTCATGGGCAACCTCTTGGGGACACATGCCAATGGCAGATGGGGTCAGAGGCCAAAGCAGGTGGAACAACAATGCGACTCTTGCCACTGTATGAAAAAGCCAGACTGTTATGTACTGAGTTGAATAGGATCCAAAATACAGCAGTCTGATTGGCCCTAGAACAATAGGATTCAGAATGCAGCAGTCTGATTAGCCCTAGAACAATAGGATTCAGAATGCAGCAGTCTGATTGGTCCTAGAACAATGCAGCAGTCTGATTGGTCCACAGGAGCCACTCAATCCAGCTCCAGGTGGAAGTGAATCCGCAACCTGATTGGCCTACAGGTGAATCCCGGAATTAGCCAGTCACGTGGGGCCCATTGTGTAAATAATGTATATAAAGCAGACATTCTGGGGGAACTTCCATTCCTCCTCACTACTATGAGTTGAATAAAGAGCATGAAATCCACTCTTGACTCAGAGTATATTTCACAGACGTTTCTACGAACACCTCCATCGCCCATGCCAGCAAGCATGCTCACATCTCAATGACTGATCCAAGCCAGGCAAAAGCATTCAAGGAGGCCCAGAGAGCAAAACCAGGGAGGTCTGTGGCTTAGCATGGAGCATATTCTGGAAAGAACCCGCTTCTCTGCTGGTGACAATAGAAGTGGGGCAGCTGTGGTGCCTGTGGGGGCAGCACTTTTGAGGCCCAAGGTGGCTGCTTCACTCTGCCTCATGGGTGGACTAGCCCTGACACCAACAAGGAAGGCTTCCCCTAACTCATCTTTCTATTAGCTTCATATTCCAGATTGCCTGTGGTGATGAAAAAAGGCTAAGGTCATCATTCCCAACTGCCATCTCCTCCTCCTCCATCATTTTCCTGCCCAGACATGAAGAAAGACTGGTCTGAAATACATCATCATTCAACGCTGCCTATTGTTCCCCATTCTACAATGTGCCACAGTGGCGCCTTCAAATTCGCCCATCCATCTCTCCCATCTCTGAGAGATCGCACAATGGTTATTTGTCGTCTAAGGGACCTGGGACGGGCGCTTTCATTATTCACTTCATTTATTTTGATACAATATTTGGAACCACTTCATTAAATTCCCTTTGGAACGTCCCCCTCGCTTTCCCCTCCCCCCCCTTGCCGCCACCCGCCTGACTGCTGCAGATAATGTAATAACCGTCATAAACAACCGGGTTGACTTTCCTCTTGAAAGGGAGGCAAGACGAGGGCTTTATTTGATTTATTTATTGTGGGTGGTTTCCCACCTTCTGCAATGGGGGGTGGGGAGCAGAGGGAGGGAGGGAGAGGGAGGCAGGCAACAGAAAACCGGCAGTTTTCAAACCTATCCGTCAATGACAAGGTTTAAATATCCCCAGTAATTTAATTGTTAGACCAGGTGGCAATTTAAGAAGAGAAGTAGCTCATTTTGTGTGCATGCAGAAAGAAGCACAGCATATGGCTAGAGTTGGGTTGTGTAGCTGGAAGGGACCTGGAAGGGCATCTAGTCCAACCCCCCTCAATACAATCTTTTTGCCCCATTTGTAAGACTCAAACCCACAACCGTGAGATTAAGAGTCTCAAGCTGTACCGACTGAGCTGTCACATTCGCTTCTGGGGTATCCTTTGGGGGCTCACATGCACTGGTAAAGGTAAAGGGACCCCTGACCATTAGGTCCAGTCACGGACAACTCTGGGGTTGCGGCGCTCATCTCGCTTTACTGGCCTAGGGAGCCAACGTACAGCTTCTGGGTCATGTGGCCAGCATGACTAAGCCACTTCTGGCAAACAAGAGCAGCACACGGAAATGGCATTTACCTTCCCGCTGGAGAGGTACCTATTTATCTACTTGCACTTGGATGTGCTTTCGAACTGCTAGGTTGGCAGGAGCAGGGACCAAGCAATGGGAGCTCACACCATCGTGGGGATTCGAACCGCTGACCTTCTGATCAGCAAGCCCTAGGCTCTGTGGTTTAACCCACAGCGCCACCCACGTCCCTCACATGCAGTGGTGGGTGGGGCTAAATGCAAAAGTCGGCAGAGCAATGAATGCAAAGTCTTACCTTTCCACCTCTTTGTCCTCCAGCCAGGCAACAGTGAGCAAGGTGCAGTGGTTAGAGTGCTCAAACTAGGATCCGGGGGATCATAGCCTCAGAGAAACTCCAAATTCCTCCAAAACACCCTGTTTTGGCTTGAGATTTAGAATTCATGCACAACCCTAATTAATTGTATCCTGTCCACACTCCTACAAAGTCTAGAGTTGGGCAGGGTCCCTTGTAAAGGAAGACATTTACATGTTCTTGTATGTCCTTATCTGTGTGGTTTTCTTGGTTATGATGTCCACTTTGCAGAACTCCTTACCCCAGGAGAGTCCAGGAGAGATTTTGTTCAGGTACGTTTCTGGCATGGAAAGATCTTGTTCTGTTTTGGCTGGGAAGGGGAAATCTGTCTTCAAAACAAAACAGCCAAGCTGTTGGGCTGTTTTGCAAGGTTCCCCCATTAGACTCCCTCCCTAAGTTGTTGTTTTTCTGTGTGTGTGTGTGTGTGTGTGTGCGTGTCTGTTTGTGCATCCACAAACTTTGCAGAAGCTCCTGCAAGTCTGCTGCCCTTGCCTCGTGTGTGTTGTGTGTGTGTATCATGGCTACTTAAGCACTTGTACATGAACATCAGAATTAGAGAGCAAGGTATAAATTGAGCAAATCCACATCATTCCTCTTGCTCTAAATTATTTATTTTGCGAGTTATCGATTCTGTGTTTGGCAGACAGTGGGAGGGGAAAGGATCTATACGAGGCGGAAAGTCTCACTCACTGCCGACCTTATTCTATTCCCTCATTGGCTTCTGAGATTTCAGCAGGCGTTTCACACAATTTCATGAACGTGATTAAAAAAAATTAAACCTTAGGAAGCTAAACCTGCATCCGGCGCCCCACTGCTCCTGAAATTTTTTGGCATCTTGGCACATGACATGCATAGCTCTACATCTGGTCTTCCTTTCCCCCTCTATTTTGTGTTGTTGCGCTAGGTGGCAGAGCGGCGTCGCAGCTGTCACTGTGCAGGTCGGCCTGTCTCTGGAGGGGGGAGCAGAGAGTGGACAGAGCTCTCAGGAGGGGGAGGGAAGGCGGAAGGGTGAAATAACAGCCATTCAGGGCCCGGCTGTGATGCAAATGTATGTTCTCAAACCGCATCAGAGCACAAGTCCATGGGGTCACAACTCCTGCCAGGCTATTTCTAGCTGTTAATCACACTTCCGCGGTCAGAGAGCGGTGTTCGGACAGGGTCAAGAGAGGACTGCCATTAGCAGTTTGTTTACTGTCTGTGGAGCCTGCAGGACAGCAATGCCCCTGGGCCCCTGTGAGAAAAATAGGCCCCTGTGAGAAAAATAAATAAATACGGATACTTGGGGCAACAGGTCACCGTAGCAGAACCCAGGGATAGTCTGAAGGCACATGTCAGAGCTCTGCTGCAGAAGTCACACTGTAACTGTAGTTCAGCCTTAGATTATAAATCGGGTCCTCCCTTAAAGAGGGCACGTGTTGTGGTGAGACCTGGCAACCAAACCCTGTGTTGTGGGTGGGTTCGATTGACTAGCCACAACACCCGATTGGTGGGTCCCTTGATTTAATCAGGCCAATGGGACGCAGGCTAAACGGATCAAGGGACCTATATATACCTATGCACGTGACACAGAGCTTCCTCTTTTGGTGTGTGCATCGGAACACCCGCCCACCTCTTCCTATATTTAGGGCTGTGCGCTTGACCTTGCTATGCCGTCATGTGTCGTTTGTCTTTGGGACAGGGGCACAGCAGGAATTTTCCCCACTTGGCTGATTGGCTGGTGCCATTTGGGTTTCACCTGCCGCGTGGCAAATCGTCACAACTTGTAAGGTTGCGGATAGGCTCTGGTTCAGGTGATAGGGATGGGAGAATTCTCTCGCCATCCCTATGTGACGGGTATTCCGTTAAAGGAATCCAGGGACTCATTGGTTTGGTCAACCCCTGTGAAGGGGTTGTGCCTGGGCCTGAGTCCAGGGGGGCATTTGGGTGGCGGAGATAGCCTGTTCCCGGCTTTCCGCTTATCCAGGTGTTCACCCTAGGCTGACCTATGCTGGTGCCCTGGGTCAGCGCTACCTGCAATGGTGCAGGGAGCTAGTCGAACCAGAGCCTATGCAACCACTCACTTGCTGTAATCAACAAAGTTGTGGCCTAAATTCTGCCAAAAACCAAGCCAAAATTTGAGTCTTGTCTGCATTTATTTAAAGGGGAGGTTTAAAGGTCTGAACACGCGAATAATATTAGTCCTTACCTTTCTAGGTGCTCGGCAACTCATGCCACACATCACAATGTCTTAAATCTCTAGGTGTTTGACGTCAGACACAGAAGAGTGGCTCCAGCAGTGGACCTCCAAGAAGACCACGTCTCCAACAAATGTTTGCTGGAAATGTTGGCTTCAGCAACCGGCAAACCTTTTGACATGCTTTGCGGTATTGCTATATGACCCAGATTGCACTGTTGTTCCAAACGACCCACCACATGCTGGGCTGGCACCAGGGGTGCCAACTTGAATAAAATATGGTGTGGAGGGGGGGAGCACATGCACACATTTGGATGACAATGCCCATCAACTTTGGGGAGGCCTGGCAGCAGCTGGCAACAATGGCAATGGGGTAGACTTACTGAGTGAGGGCTCCCACTGGGGGTGTCTTGAACAAGGGCCCCCAAAAAGTTGGATAGATTCATAATGGCATATTTAGGTGTTAAGCAGTTTATCTACCTTTGAAGACTCAATTAACCTTTCTTTTGTGTTATCCAGAGTAGAAAGAAAGGTTTTTTTTAAAAAAAAACACCACAGAAAAGCAAACCCCATCATTTTTTGATCTGAGGCGTGCCGAGGCAACAAAATGATGCATTTTGAATAATTCTATACATGTTTTCCGGCTGGAACATGCTTATCCGCAACCTTAAATTCCTTATGGTTTCAGAGAAGCGATTTGCTGAAGAGGTTTCACTTTCTGAGATTTCCACTCTAATGCCATGTGCTGTGTTGTTGCTATTGTCGAAGGTCAGGCTTTCCTTGTGACTTAGGCTGGGGGGTTGGGTCTGAACTGTTTAGCATCCATGCCTGGAGAAGGCAGGTGCTCCCTCCCTCCCTCCCTCCCTCCCTCCCTCCCTCCTTCCTGCAAACTAGCAGCATTTACCCTAAAACATAGAAATTGCCACCCTCCAGAAGTTGCGGCACTCCAGCTCCCATTGGCTCCATCCAGCATGGCTTGCAGTCAGGGATGATGGGAGGTGGTTCGTGACACTATGCCCTCCTAAATTTCTCTGATGAAAATAGGGACATCCTAGACAGTATCTTAAAAAGCAGAGATATCACCTTGCCGACAAAGCTCCGTATAGTTAAAGCCATGGTTTTCCCAGTAGTGATGTATGGAAGTGAGAGCTGGACCATAACGAAGGCGGATCGCCAAATAATTGATGCTTTTGAATTATGGTGCTGGAGGAGACTCCTGAGAATCCCATGAACTGCAAGAAGATCAAACCTCTCCATTCTGAAGGAAATCAGCCCTTAGTGCTCACTGGAAGGACAGATCCTGAAGCTGAGGCTCAAATACTTTGGCCACCTCATGGGAAGAGAAGACTCGCTGGAAAAGACCCTGATGTTGAGAAAGATGGAGGGCACAAGGAGAAGAGGATGACAGAGGACGAGATGGTTGGACAGTGTTCTCAAAGCTACCAGCATGAGTTGTACCAAACTGTGAGAGGCAGTGGAAGACAGGAGTGCCTGGTGTGCTCTACACCAGAATCGTGGAAAGAGGCGTACATCACACTTATACCGAAAACAGAGACTGAAAAGACTCAGCTTAAGAACTATCGCCCTATATCGTTACTTAATGTGGATTACAAAATTTTTGCAGACATTTTGGCCAAGAGATTGAAAAAATATTGATGAAAGAGATTCATAAAGACCAAGCGGGCTTTCTCCCGGGAAGACACCTGTCTGATAATTTGAGGAATATAATTGATATTTTGGAAAAATTAGAAGTGAATATAAACACCAAAGCAGTATTGATATTTGTTGACGCGGAGAAAGCTTTTGATAATATCTCTTGGAGTTTTATGAAGAAGAATCTGCATGGGATGGGGGTAGGCCAAGGTTTTGAAAATGGTATAGGTGCAATATACTCTGAACAAAAGGCTAAATTAATTGTAAATAATGTGGTTACGGAAGAATTTAAGATAGAAAAAGGGACACGACAGGGGTGCCCAATTTCCCCACTGCTTTTATATCGGTCCTGGAGGTTTTGCTAAATATGATTAGAAAGGACCGGTTGGTTAAGGGCATACAGGTCGGAGCTAAACAGTACAAATTGAGAGCATTTGCAGATGACCTAGTATTGACGTTACAGGAGCCAGAATCTAGTACTAAAAGAGTTTTAGAATTAATTCAGGAATTTGGTCAGGTGGCAGGTTTTAAATTGAACAAGTTAAAAACTAAGGTTTTAGAGAAAACTTAACACCGATTGAAAGAGAGAGGTTTCAGAATGAGACAGGATTGAATGTGGTAAAGAAAGTGAAATACTTGGGGATTAATATGACAGCCAA